GTGAATGAGTGAATGAGAGAGTGAGTGATTTTTTTTTTCCTGCATGTTCCACAGTTGAGCAGAAGAGGGAGGGAGTAGTAAATGAAGGGGTGAGTTCTGGTGAAGGGGTGAGGAGGAGGAGAATGGTTTCAGATCAGAACAGTATTTTGGTTATGTATTAGCTTATTTTGTACAGCACATATTCAAAATGGGTGGGTGGGGGGGTTAATGAGTGAGGGGTGGAGGTAAGAAGATCCACTCTGGCCAAGTGACTATAAATATTCATTTCGTGCAACAGAGTACGATGGAGGTGATCAAGATGTGCAGCGCTGCCTGGATTCGATATGACTGCACAGTAGTAATGTCTCTGTCATAACACAATCAATCATTTGTTGGTGAGGAGCATCTTTGTGTAGTTGCTGCTCTTTGTTAGTGGGGGGAGCTGAGGATACAGGCTCGTTGTTATTGTCACCGATGTGATCGCACTGATGTGTTTTTGTCTTGTGCCCCGTTTAGGAAGCGCTGGAGTTTAGACCACTCCCTTTATCCGCCGACAGAGGGACGTCCTCCACACTCACTGGACCTGCCGAGCCTGCTCAGTACTCACTACAGTACTCACTACAGTACTCACTACAGTACTCACTACATCCTGTACACACACTATGTAATCACTACAGAATACATACACACTTTATACACTATGTAATCACTATATACTCACAACACCCTGTATACACACTATGTTAATCACTGTATACTCACTACACAATGTATACTCACCACACAATACATACACACTTTATACACACTATGTAATCACTATATACTCACTACACAATACATGCAAACTTTACACACACTATATCCTCACAATATACTCACCACACACTTTATCCTCACCATATACTCACTATACACACACTATATACTCATTAGACACACTATATACTCACGATATACACATTGTACAATCACTATATACTCTCTATACACAATATACTTGCAGTATACTCATTATCATCACTATATACTAATTATATATACACACACACACACAGTATGCTCATTGTATAGTCAAATAATCAGCAATAATGAAAATAATCATTAGTTGCAGTCCTCGGAGCGGAAACTTACAATTTGACAATTTAGTTCATATCTTATTTGATCAATTAATTGCATTTTATTAGTGGATTCATATATTAGTATTGTTTTAAATGAGGTATTGGTGTGTACACAGTCATTCATTTCTGAAACGCTCTCTCATCCAGTTTTATCTTTAGTCGTGCCAGTGTCTGAGGTACAAATACATTCAGCTTACATAAGACGAGCAAACGCAGCGCCTGGTTTATTTGTCAGAAGTTAAAGTTACGTTTCTAATGTATTTACAGAAGACAGCTACACCACTGCGTCAGGAGGGTTTTACAGTTGCACCTCTAAATTTATCAGATGCCACTTTGTAATTTTAGCTGCCTAAAACGCTCTCAAGCCTTGTCCGGCCTCTGGCCCAAAGCATTCTGGGTAACATCAACCACCATTTTCGCCAGCAAAGGCCTCACTGCGCTCGCTATCAGTGGGTCCAGAACTGTCCAGCACATTACCACATCGTGTTACATTGAAAGCATTCTTTCTTGCTGCTCCGCTCTGATTTGATGACTGTGTGGTTATTTGCTGTGGCTTTAAAACTCAAATAAGGTTGAATTAAATCAAACCTTTCTCATTTACTCATGTGGCAGGAAAAGACGGTCCGAGGACAGGTTCTAGATTAGATTATTCTTTCTTCAGCGAAGAATCCCATGGGTTCTTTAATCTAGTTTTTTACCACTTCTTCATTCATATTCTTAAAGCACTTTATTCCACATTTTAGCTTATAGCCCTTAAAGTCCAGCGACATAATCTCTCCCATCCAACTAGAATAAACACGAGACACCCCTGGGGTATTCTCTTGAGTAATGTTTTAATGCTTTGTAATGTTTTCTTACATCTTTGGAGTCATTCCCACTGTCAAGCCAAAAACACAAATATGTACGTGTGGAAAACTCCACTGATCTACAATAAAGTAATGTGACATCACATAGCTTTTTTTAAAAGGAGAAGTGGAAATTAATTGGAATTTCGGGCAGTGACACTGTTCAGCAGAAGGCTCTTAGTCAGAGTCTCAAAGGATTTCACTGTACTACGAAAACGGCATCTCCTGAATCTTACACCAAAAAACAGGAAATAAACCCTCCCTGTTTAAACCACATCTTTGTTTTACATTTAAAAAAGATGATATACTTTTGGCATCCAACTTCATTTCTATGTTATGCACCAAATGTGGTTTCTCCATTCACCCTAACTGGGTTTATGCCGCTAACTGCCTATGACAGGATGTAACATTGGTTTCAGTTGAGACACCTTGGGTGTCTAGTTTATCTATAGTTTAGTCTCAGCCACTGCATTTTCCCAGTGTTAACATTTGAAAAGTAGAAAACACCTCAAAAAGTGAAAACTGAAAGTAAGGACAAGGCTTTGTCACAGTTAGAAAAACACTTAGCTGGAGTGTGAGTGCAGCTCTGTGGATGCACAGTGGCATGTGTGTGTTTGCACGTGTTCGGTTCTCGACAGTTGTGACAACACTTGGACGCCTGAACAGGTGTCAGCAGCCAAGTGCTGCACAGCCGAGCAAGCACAGGGCCCGTCGCTCTGTTCCACACCATGTAGCTCTTTGTGAACGTCCCTGCGTTAATGCGGAGCAGGTATTTGCACAATGTCAGCTGTCCAACCACCTTGGCCGCAGTGTCGGAGCACCTGTGAGCCGTCATTCTAACCAGCAGAGAGGACTCAAACAGAGGCTTTTGTGAGCTATTATCTCTCAGGCTGAAACATGACACAGCATTTTAGTCAAACAATTGAAAGGTGGAGTTTTTTTTCCATTGAAAGAGAATCTGTCAATAGACATCCTGTATTGTAAATAAATTAGAGTTTACACGCTTACTGAAATACAGAGGTGTAAAATTGATTTTTTTCATCTCCGTCCAAGCTGAGCCCACGCATGTGGTGTATTGACTTGCAGCCCTCACATCTGATTTGACGCGGATGCATTGCTCTTGAAGAACGCCACATTTAGCCTTAATCCCGACTTTAACCCTTGCCCCTTTAATACTTGGAGACTAGGGTTGAGTACATGAGGAACACAAGCTGCTGCAACAGGCTGCAGCCACACCACAAACATCTACCACATGCAGACTTGTGTTATCTCTCATTCTTTTTAAACTGAAGCTATCATAGTGTCTTTGCGTCTTTAGTCTTTTGAACCCACCTGGACACAAACATCTCATGCACAAGCTTGTCCATCTTTCTACTTTGTCTTCTCTTGTTATGTTAAAACTTTCCACACAAGCCACCAAACAGTGATTTAAATGTTTTACTGCTCCTGTGTTTTCTTACTCACAAAAAAAAAAGCAGTGGCTTGAGTATTTGACCTTAGTCCCTTCATACAGTGGTGACCTCTGGTGTGAGCTG